CACTCCAGGTGACCGTTCTGCAACACACACAGACACGCGCACGCACAGACACACACACACACACACACACACACGCACACAGACACACAGACACACACACAGACACACACACAGACACACCAGTCAGGAACCAGCACACTGTTGCTCAGCTTGTCTCTTGATAACACACTTCCTGTCTGGCGTCCTGTATCCTAACCATAACAAGTTGACTCCAGAGAAGACTACAACTCCCATCAGCCCACACTGCTTCCTTACATCATCAAACACACACACACAGCAGATACCGACCTTGACCCCCAGGCCTGCAGGGGTGAGCTGCTGGTTGTTGCGCTCGTTAAGTCCGTCCTCCCCCATCAGAGAGGTGAGATGCTGAAGACAGTCAGCGTGACCCTGAGACGCTGAGATGTGCAGCAGGTTGTTTCCATCATCGTCTCTGATCAGCTCCAGGTTATCTGCTGCCAGGTGAGGCTGGAGGAGGGAGAGGGGGGAGAGGAGGAGGAGGGAGAAGGAAAAAAAACAGGAGGTGGAAGAGCAAGTAGAGGAGGGAAATGAGGAGAAGGGAAAGAAAGAAGAAGTGGGGGAGAAATGAAGGGGAGGAAGATGTGGATGCAATGTGGAGGTGGAGAAGAGGAGCAAGTAGCATAGAAAGGTGAGGGGAGTGGTGGAACAGGTACAGAAGGAGGAGGAAGAAGAGCAAAGAGGAGCACAATAAGGAAGAGGAGCAGCAAGGAGAAGAATGGGGAGAAAGGGAGAGGAGAGATGGAAGGATAGATTGAGAGGAGGAAGAAAGAGGAACAGAAAAACAGGACAAAGGGAAGAAGAGGAGTCGGAGGAGGAGGATAAAACATCAGATATAGTTTAGTCCCACCTCCTTTGGTCAAAAGCTTTCATCGTGTGCTCCGCCCCCTGATGATGTCACACTCACCAGCAGCGAGATCTGTCCTTCTCTGACGATGTTCATGATGTTCTGGTTCTTCTTCGTCTCCTCATCCAACTCTGCTCCTCCACCTCCAAACCCCCTGAGCCCCCCACCCCCTCCTGCACCTCCTCCTCCTGCTCCAGGGGCCCTGGGCTTGGAGCCGTCCTGCCTGCCCACGCTGCACCCGGGCAGGGGGAACATAAGAGCCGGGCCCCCTGGAGGCTCCACGCCCGGCCTCTGGGTCTGGGAGTCTGGGTAAACCCGCGCTGACAGCAGCTTGTCTGGAAGACAACATCCAAACATGACAGAAGCTTCATCCTCGAAGAAAGAAGAAAAAGAGACAGAACTTTTATTACCTGTATCAGAAAAAGAGGAGAGGGAGGACGAGCAGCTGAGGAGTCCGGAGGAGAGCAGCTCTGGCTGGTAACCTCCTCCAGTCTGGGAGCGGTGCAGGTGGTGGAGATCTGGATCCATCGACTTGGACTTCCTCAGGTCCGACCACTTCACCGGAGACAGAACACAGTACTGCACAAGACACAAGGGAGGCTTCAGATAAAGACACAACATTCAATCTGTTCAAATCTGATCGGAGTCATTTGTACCTGAGTCTGCGAGCTGCTGCTGCTTCCCAGGCTCAGGGGCTCGTTGTGGGACAAAGTGGAGCTCTTCAGCCCTCCTCCCCGGTTCCTCTCCAGCGTGCCCCCGCCCAGGTTGCTCCCCGTCACTGAGCGCTTGTCGTGGGGGACGCGAGGCAGCGTGGACATCTGCTGACTGGATTTGATGTAAGGCACGTCCAGGATTTCGTCCATGTCCAGATCGTAGTGCTCCAGCTCCCCGAACAGAGCCTGAGGGTTGTTCCCTCCGACGACACCCACACCGACGCTGCCCAGGCCCTTCACCTTCTCCCCCGGCCCGTCGGAGGAGGTGGAGGCATGAGTTGGCTTGTCGGAGCCAGGGTCATCTTTACTGGCCTCCCCTGGCTCCCCCAGACCCAGCCCCTGACCCGGGGCTTTCCCATCGGAGTCTGAGTCGGTCGTCTCAGGTTGGTGTTTGAGGGGAGAGACTCTCTTCACCGGCCGGAACTTACTATGGACCTCAGCGAGCCCTGTGGGTTTGATTCCCCCGCCACTGTGGGAGGAAACGCCACGACTCCAGTTGATGGATGGAGCTGCACGGGGAACAGAGATGGAAAGAGATTACATGAGCAACCTATTGAAGAAATTGTGAATAAAAACTAGACGAGGACATCAAATACTGTATTGCTAAAGTTTTGTAATTTCTTATTAGGCTAAACTTTCATGACACTAGAGTTACCTGGTCTCTCGTCAGCCTGACCATCACTCCTCCTGGACAGCTCTGGGATGCTCTTCAGAGACGTCACAGAATACTGTGGGCCGAGAGGGAAACACAACAAGGACCGAACGTAAACAGAAAATAGATCGTTTACTCTGCGAAATACTAAGAACAGGATTTCTTTTCTTGGAGTTAGCAACGCTTTCTATCCACCGACAGACAGACATGAAACTGACCACTGAGTCTTCAGAGAAGTCGATCTCGTCCAGGTCCAGATATTCAGGAGCCTCCATCTTCACAGCACATCATCAGCCTCACAACCTGCTGAAGAAAAACACGTTAGAACATCATCCTGTTTAACACACGACAGATTCAGAACGCACACACACACACGCACACACACACACGCACACACACGCACAGCATCTTGATCATAAATATAAGTTAAACACTTGTTAACCCTCTGGAATCAGACGCCCCCAGTTGTTTTCACGATTGTGATTTAATGGATCTAAAATAAAAACCATATAATTTAAAACTCTTTTCTCTTTCTTCCACCACAACACGTTCGCTGATGACGTCACTATGTTTCATGTGCAGAGGCAGGAGAGGAACAAATTTTCATCTCTCAAAAACTAA